TTTTGGCATAACTATTGGAGTCAGTCTTGGTTGTTGGCAAAATATCTCATGAACTACTGGACAAGTATTAATTAAATTCTAAGCATCTTATAATTGGATGGCTAACAAAGTTAAGTCAGGTCCTCTGGACAAATTCTTCTTGTACCTGGTACAAGTATTGTACTTGCATTCTTGTATACTCTTGTATTCTTCTTGTACCTTCTTGATTCTTATTCTTCCTGGATTGTTGAGCATGGATCAAGATGTACATTTACAGCTGATTATTTTTGAAGTCAACCTAATTCAAGATGACCTCCACAACTAATGAACTATGGCAAACAATGAATGGCTACAAGTGAGTCAGTTTTACAGATGCTGAACTACAATCTGATGTAGTAGCAGAAAGACATCCACAACACATACTCCAGGAACTAACAGATGCATGCAGTGGCCCGTGAAATGTGTTCCTACAAAGAATGTTAGCAACATTTTGCTGTTAATCTTTTAGTTTTTTTTTTATGTTTATATCTGGATTTCCTGAAACTACAAAATATTTTTGGGCATAGTTTATAACCCATCAGTCTCAGCTGTGAAAACTTGTAATTAAATTTTCAACTCATACAAAGAGTAATTTACCAAATCATAGCTTATTGTTCAGAAAACGCAATCACAATAATGCCTACATGTCCCCAGTATAAGGTATTAAACAGCTCTTTAAGATTGTTTCTACAGCTTGACTTTTCATTTCACTTATTTCTCCTGAAAATTAGAGGTTTAAAGTACACCTTTTTTAAAACAGTCCTTCCATCTCAGCTGCTTCTCTTTTATTGCAAAATAAATTAATAATAATGGAAACACAAATAACAGTGAGTGCATCATAAAGTGATTATTTACTTATTTTTACATTTTATGGTTGAGATTTTTATGCTTGATGTACAAATTGTAAATGTGGCAAACTATTGGTATACCACAATGGTGATTTTAGCCTCTTTTTAGGGGTGCTCAAGCACCCCTAAATTTTAACTCAGCACTCAGGAAAAAAATAATAAATAAATAAAATTGGGGGGTGGGGTCAGTTCTGGGTTTGTGTTTTTGTCATAACCGCAGGGAACCCAGATTTGTATGAGACCCGGAACGAGACAGACTCAGGTGGATACAAAAGAACAGTGTTTATTCACAGGTGAAATAATGTACAATGCTGGTGCAGCTTCTCTGCAGCTCCTGGAGGAGGTAGAGGAGGACAGTCAGAATGGAAGTGGAGATCTTAGGAGCTGATATTTTGTGTTCTGTGAATCTCTTACAATTTGGTCCAGAGGTGGGTTCCAATCCTCCAAGAGAGCTCCAGAGGGTCCAGAGAGAGTCCAGTAGCTGGCAGGGCAGGCACTGGCTGGATTAGAAGCACCAGGCAAGAGAGATCCAGGCACGAGGGAGGTTGAGCCAAGGAGGGACCCAAGGGGGTCTACAAACCAAGAACAGGCCACGAGGGAGTCCGAGGGACCAGGAACAGGACACGAGGAAGTCAGGAAATCAAAGGATCACGAGGGGTCCTTTTAACAAGCCGAGGAACCAGGAAACACATGGAAGGTGATATGCTCCAGCGAAGAGTAGCACTGGACTGCAGCCTTTTGTAGCCGGGGACGCCTCCTCAGTCTGATGGCCGTCAGGTGTAGGCAATTAGCGGCCATCTTGGAGGAGGAGCTGCAGGCAGTGGTACTCTTACAGTTTTAGGTTATGTTTATTGTATTTATGAGTCAGTGCCACAAAATAAACACATTTAAAAGGTAACAGATCATTATAATACTTGGTTTATTTATATAACAACTTTAGTTGCTGGATGTTTGACCCCTGAGCTGCTGGCTTTCAGTAACTGTGGCCCCTGAGCAGTTTAGTTGAACAGCCCTGCTTTAGAGGGTGGAATACAATTTATTCATTTTCCAAAACCTAAACTGAGTCTGGAAAAATGTAAAGGTTGATAAAGCCCTGTGGCCGACCTTATGAGCAGCTGAATACAACAATGATAAACAGGAAGTACTGCATGTTCATCTGTATGAAGGTAACCACAGGTATGGTTAATGGTTAAATTCAAGGTTAATGATTAAAGATAGTTGTGCTTTGTTTTGTGTGTTTTGTACATAGATATAGCCATCTTGTAACTTCTGGTTGCATAAATTTACTCTGTTTGTTATAATCAGTTAACTCTAAACTGATTTTTACAAAGCATTTATTAGATTGTGTAATGTAAAGCAGAGTGCTACGTCTGTGGCATCTTAGCTAGCACATCTGCAATGCACGCCACTAGCTTAGTGCTACTTTTTGTTGTGCCATTAACTCTAAAATAGTTATTGACTTAAGTGTTTACTTATGGAGGTATATGTAGATGTTTAAAAACCCATTAAAATACACTTGAATGCAGGAAAAAGCATCTACTTTATTCAAAAATTTGGGGGGGGAGGAACCACAGACCCCCCCCCCCCTCACCACCACCACCAGGGTGCACCCCCCCTCCCCCCCATTATGAATGCTTCTGATGCCAGTGGTCACCAGATTGTTCAAGCCAAGAGGCATTGTCAGCACTGGGGGCTAAGCATCCCTAAAGGTCAGATTCTAGAATTGCCCCTGGTATGCCATTTGTATTTTAGAGGAATCATGAAATTTCAGGGGAGGTCATGTAATAATAAAAGGAGCCAAACTACCATCAAAGCACAAATGAACTAAAACATGTTTTACCCGTTAAAAATTCAAATTGTATCATGTGTTCAGTGAAATAAACACAGACCTTTTCTGAGCACCAGATATTCAATGTACATTCAGTTGGCAAAGGCCGGATATTTATACCAAGGCTAATTCAGTTCTTTCCTAAATGATAAAAGAAACAAAGAAGACCTCAGACTTTGGAAAAAAATCCAAACTCATCTCATTAGCAGGAACAAATGAGAGCAGGAATTAAAGGTTGGAAGATATATTATGTTCTCAATTTAAAAATGGTCTGAGAAAGGTTTTTTTTTCTGGCTATGGAAAATAAAATACACCATAAATTTAAATAAACAAATTTTAGAGCCCTTGAAATCTGTTTTCTTGTTGTTTTAAAGTGAAGATTAAAACAATTTTGTTTTGATTAAATATACATCTCTATATAGATCTAGCTTTGCCAGATTAAGGTTGTCATGTGGTTCAGTTTGTGCTTTTATTCCACAACATTTAACATTAAGTAATACAATATATAAACTGCGGAGTATTTTTCCCATTTAAAGACAATAATTATTGGTTTTCGCTTGTAAGACTGACAACTTTAATGCCAAATTTAAAAAAAGAGTGTTGACAACACTTACGCAGAAGATACTCTGAGCTGTCTGTGTCGTAGTCGTTGTCATCGGGGAAATGGTTGATCCTGTAACAGCTGCCTTCATTGATGCCTAAAACACACACAAACACACACACACACACACACACACACACACACACACACAGGGAAAGAGAAAGAGAAATAAACAGAATGAGGGTCCATGATATTAGTGAAAAATGTGAGCAGTAAGACACAATTTGAGAAGGAAAGCTGTTCTGAAACAACTCGAACTACTGTGTACGCCAAGAGACTGCATCCACTGAAATTAGATGTTCCCTGTCTTGTCTTATAGAAAAAATATTTTGAAGTCACATCAAAAAATATTTTGTCTTAAAGATGCTGCAAAAACAATCAGGACAGACAAGGATATGTAAGAATGTGTGTAAAAGGTGTTTTCCCGGTGTGATATTTCTGTGACTCTTTCAAAATGACCATTACAGTCTGAGAAATTGTTATTTATTTTTTAATTTTATCTGTAATAAAATTATTAACAGGAAGGAGTTATTCAGCCCAAAGCCACCATGTAACCCCCTTTTTTTTAAGAAACCCTGCACTTAGAATAATTATTATTTTACTTGGTTCAGGGAGGTTTAGCTGATAGTGTCAGCTGAATCTCAGGTAAGCTCTGCCTGATTAATTCCCTGAATGCAACAAAAGCTTTTTCAGTTTAAAAAAAATGAACAATCTCTTTTTCATTTTGCTTTTTCAAAGCCTCTGTGTATTAAAACTAACCCCCTCTATAAAAGCCAACATTTCATTAACACAATGCCGACAAACAGCTGTCAACTTCATTTTCCAGGTGCCTAAAGGTGAGCTGCATAACCGTGATTGTCTGTGGCAGAGCTTTTAAGGGCACATTTGCTTTCATTAACTGGGTCTGCTGCCTAATAAGGGACATCAAATTAATTAGTGTCAAATCTGTTGATGGAAATGGAGCACACGTTTCTGTGTCTAGTCACTGATGGGAGGGAAGGTTTTATACTATTTTAGACTGCAGTGTGAGACTTTGTGCCTAGTTAAAAAAATACATTCAGATCACATGGTTAGAAAACAAAAAGCCAGACACGTTTTGAGTTTTGTTAATTGCTGTGCAAACACCAAACCATGCTGTGGGGCTTGTAGCAGATGTAATTTGTGCACATGTTTTCTCTAAAACTTAAATGTTATTTTGTGCATTTTAAAAACCACCCTCCACTCTGAAAACACATGCTGCTATTATGTATTTTGTCACAGCATTTTCCATCCGTGTCTGACCAACTTGTCTGACAGCTTTGTCTCACCCCAGATGTGTGGCGTGTGTGTGTGTATTTGTTCTTGTCTTTACTGTTTAACGAGGACCTTGTGTTAACCTACTTGGGAGCTTGTGTCTTATAGGGACCAAAGATCTGCTGTAATTTCTACTGTCTTCTTTAAAATAGGGTTGAGATGCAAATAGAGGTTAGTTAAGGTAGATAGTTAAAAATAAAGAAAATGAATGACTTAAAAGGCTTTTCTCTGTATACAATAGAGATGACGATTTTTAGAATAGAAGACATGTTGTAATGATTGACTGAAAATCTGATTATAAGTCCATGCCTTGAGAGGGCAGAAAGTAAAGCAAAGTTAAAAATCAGAAGTACAGAAAGCAAAGAAATGATGGGGAACACATAATTACTTTAATGAGGGTGTCGGTCAGTGTTAGACGGCAGCAAATTAACATGAACAAAACTTGTGATTGTATAAATAACACTGACGGTCATACAAATCAATTGAAACGAAAGCTGTAGAAATGTTTGCAGGTAACACACCAAAAAAGTTATTTTCAAGAAATACAGTGTATGAATAAGACATAATATGGCAGGTGGTCTAACGTGGCACAGTAAACGCATCACAAAAGACATCTTGTTCTTTAGGTTTGGTTAGAGTTTGCCCTCTGTGTAAGCCTCTCCTGCTCTCTTCCATGGCAACCACTGTTAGTTTTTAATAACCTCATTTACATGAACACTCTCAAAGGATGTGTTTGACATTTTCATTGTAGTATGATACCCATAAAATAGGAGACTGCACTTTTCTGGCACAACCACTTCCCCTACATAGATCTGTCCACAACACTTACTGGTATGTGTACATGACATTAAAAAGCAATGTGCACATGTACAAAAATATGAGGACATAAATGGACAACAGCCATCACAGCAGTGGCTATACTATCATCAGACTGATGCACATTATCATTTTTTATGATGCAGCTCAGATAGTTGATAAGGTAGCAGACAAAGCAAAATATGGTAATGCCCATGTCTTTTGGCATTAAAACTGTGCATACAAGACTGCAGAATGTCAGAAACATTTAAAAAATTTAATCATGAATTAAGCATCTATAATATTAAAAAAAAAATCACATGATTTTCTCAAAATTTAAGCAAGTTATCTTTGGATTTGCTGAATTTCAGATAAACCTTCTACTTCGAACTGCCTGACATTGATTGTGCACATCGCAAGACAATGAAAAAAGTGCACAAGAATCATGAATACCTTTATCAAATGGTAGGTTGACTGTCAAAGACACCTTTTAAATATAACAAGAAGTTGCATGTGAGGTTGAAGAAAGTGAGGGAAATGTTTACTTAATTACAAGAGAAAGGCTGTTTCATCGTGTAGCTCAGCTGGGTGAAGAAAATGATGATGATGAAGAAGAAGAAGAACAGCAAGAAGAAGAACAAGAACAACAAGAACAAAAAGAAGATTTTGATTTTTAACAAAACTTTATTTACACAATTAGTTAACACAACAGTGTTAATAAAAGGTGATCAGGACAAGCTTAAAATAAAATATTTACATGAGGAGCTTGTTGTATTGTAGTTCTCCCTGATCAGAAATGGTGCATAAAACCTTCTTAAATCCCCACAGTTTCACAAAATTCTCCAGGAGTCCAGTGTCTCTGTGGAAGCAAAACTCCAATACCAGTCTGGTCTTGACGTTGCACTTCCACAGAGCCACGGCATCAAGTTGAGGTCCAGCCTTCAGTCTGTCCCTGCGAGACAAGTAAACAGCCATTTTTGCTTCGGCCACTAAAAAATTTAAAGTTTGGGATTTAAACTTAGTGGCTTTGCTGTAATGTACTCCATTAATAAAACAGATTTGGTGAAAACTGTGTCAAAAAGGCTAAAAATTCTCATCATTAGATTAAACAGAGTCGTCAGTCATAAAGAACAAGAAGAAAAACAAAAAGAACAAGAAAACGAACAAGAAGAAGGCCTTGTTCAGATAGTTTGACTTTTTTGAGCTATTTTTAAAATAAAGCTCAAAAACATGAAAAAGTATATGTATTCAAACATTTTGAGTATTTGACTTCATCAAAGGTGACTTAATCCCAATCTTAATGTGTGTTACAACAAATGAACAAAAACAATATAAAAAAATGATGTTTTACTGTTGTAATTTAATCATCAGGCCAAAAAATATATGTTTTAAATACTGTTTGTTTTATGATTGCATTGTTAATTTGTTTTTGATGAGCAGGACTGAAGAGTGGAGAAGAGAACAGGAGAAGCAGAGAAGATGAAGTGTGTAAAAGACAGATGGGACATCACAAAATCTGAATAGGTCAAGAAGAAGAGGGTATCAAACAAAAGTCACTGAATTATCATTTGCCACAGGTCAATAATAACCCTTCTACACAAAATGAGCAGAAATTTTGAGACATGTTTTTATATTTAAACAATTTACTATATCGATGCAACAAACGTATATTTATAATTGTCATATATGTTAAAACCAGTTTCCTTCAAGTGTTTCACAAATCTGCCTAAAAATGAAGATGAAATAAAAAGTTGAAAACAATTCTAAATTATACTCCTTTTGTTTGAGTATATGTTGTGAAATTAATTTTATTTCAAACACAGCTTCATCTTACTTAATGTAATTTTTAAATATTTAAAAAATAATGCATATGTCAAGTAAACTTCCAAAACATTGCCTGTTTCAATATCCTAACACCTCAACTAACACCTCATCATCTCATCTTTTGCTCATTCTGAGATCTCTCCGAGTGCAGGAGTAATGGTAAGTTTGATGCCCCCACTCCTTTACTTTCACACCACAGTGGCTCTGCTACAGATTTACAAAGAAACCAATAAAAACTGATATTTTTACTGTATTTTACCAAAATTCACAGCCTCTAATGCATGATAAACATGCATTAATGCTAAACTTGACAGCTTCACAAAAGCAGAAGCATAATTTCTGCTTTATTTTTACTTTTATCTTTGTTTCTTGTGAACTTCCAACAGAGAGTGCCTAAACACTGATGAGGAAGAGCACAGTGAGGTGCACTGCAAGCTGGATGATTAGGGTTTATAAAGCTGTAACTGAGGGCTGATATCAAATACAGGCATGCACAAACAACTGGCTTAGCAACACATACACATTACTGTGGAAGCCTGGGCAGCATATAAAAGCTTCTGTGTAGTCAAACAAACTGCTCCAATGTTTTTTCTCTCTTCTGTCCAAATGAGGATGAGAGAAAAGCAATTTGGCAACGACATCAGTGATTCAGTGTTGATATGACTGACAGTTGGTTAATTAAATTGTCACCAGGCTGCAATTTCTTCAAACACAGCTTGAGTTTGACTGTGCATGTTGTTGGAAGAAAACTGAGATCTGTTGCTGCATGTGAGCTGTTTGGAAGGCTGTTATGCACAGTCACTTAAAAATGCACAAGGGCAACTGATTCACAATGTGATATGAGAGGGGATTATATGTGTGAGCATGGAGTAAAAAAAAGGTGGAATTTCAGGCCATAGTGGTTCTTTTGTAGCTTTTATATTACTTATTTCCTGTTGTTTTTGAAAAAGGCTTTTCTATGTATTTGTGTTAAATTAATGCTTGATATGAGGTTGGCTCAAAAAGCTTGTTAGAGCCTGCATGTGAAATAAATGAAAGGCAAAACAACTTTTCAAACTTAGAAAATATATATTTGTTTTAGAAATGTATTCTTAGATTCAGTTTTTTTCTGCAAGAGTTAGACACAACAATAAATGTAACTCTAATGCTAGTTTGTTTTTTGCAAAGGCATGGCTTTGTTCACAGATGGACAAATTCATCTTTTTTTGTCTTGAATGGCATATCATTTAGAATGTAACTAATAAAACATAGACCTTCAAAGGCTTGTCGTTTATGCCTTCAATCTTTGAGATAGATGGTGTTATGGTATATTTTAATGCTGTTTTTTGTTGCATCTTTACTAATATACCAACTGAGTTGCTTACAGCAAGCAAAATTGTTGCATATGACAAAATAATTGAGCTGCTTGTTGAGATATTATGAGAGTTTACAAAATAACAATAAATACCTTGTAGGAGTGTCAGACCTTCAGCAAATCCAGCAGCCCCCATCTTGTTGCCTGTTATTTAAACTCTATATGAACCTCTATTGCAGATGCGGCTTCCAGGAGCTGTGGCCTGAAGGTCATTGGTGCCTGTCACAGCAGCAACCAAAGGACCCGCTGGTGGACACCAGCTGTGATGGAGGCTGTCAAGCTGAAGAAGGAGGCCTTCAAGACTTGGCTATCCTGGATGACTCCTGTAGCTGCTGATGGGTACAGGGTGAAGGACAGTGGCTTTGGTGGCTGCAGATGCAAAAACTCAGGCATGGGAGGAATTCATGGAGAAGGACTTTTGGTTGACCCTGAAAAGGTTCTGGAAAACCATTCAGCAACTCAGAAAAGGAAAATAAGCCCCTTCCCAGGCTGTGTTTGGTATGGTCGAGGGATTGTTTACCTGGACCGAGGATATTGTTGAGTGGTGGTGGAGCACTTAAGGATCTCCTACATTCATCTACCATGTCCACCTTTGAAGAGGCAGAACCTGAAAACTCAGGGGAAGACGAGCCCTGGCATGGTAGTCAAAAAGCTCCTTGGGTGCGGGGCGCCATGGGTGTATGAGATTATTTCCAAGTAGTTGAAGGCTCTGGATGCTGTGGGGCTGTCATAGTTGACACGTCTCTTCAGTGTCACATGGAGTACTGGGACAATGCTTGTGGAATGGCAGACTAGGTATTGATCCCCATTTTTAAGAAGGGAGACAGTAGAGCATGTTCCAACTCTTGTGAGATCACACTTCTTGCCCTCCACAGGAATGTTTACTCCAGGGTGTTGGAAGGGAGGCTCCGACTACCTGTTGAATTTCTGATTCAAGAGGACCAGTGGGGCTTCCATCCTGGTTGCGAAACAGTGGACCAGAGCTTCTTCCTTGTGTAATTCCTAAGTTGAAAATTTGCTTCTCCAGTTTACATGAGTTTTGTAGCTTTGGAGAAGACTTATGACTATGTTCCTCATTCTGTGCGAGGTGCCATGGGAGAAAGGGGTGCCCCTGTTGATTTTAAGGGCTATCCAATACCTGTACAGCAGGAGCTGTGTCCACATTCTTTGCAAAGTCAAGCTTGTTTCCAGTGCAGGTTGGACGTTGCCAGGGCTGTCCTGTGTCTCCAGTCCTGTTTGTGGTGTTCATGGACAGGGTCTCAAGGTGCAGTCGGGGAGAGGAGATTGTCTGGTTTGGGAAGCTCAGAGTTTCATATCTGCTTAACATAGATTATATGGTTCTGTTGGCATCTTCAGGACAAAACCTTCAGCATGCACTGGGGCAATTTGCAGACAAGTGTTAACTGGCTGGAATGGGAGTCAGTTCCTCTAAGTCTGAGGCCATGGTTCTTGACTGGAAATGGAAGGAAAGCCTTCTCCGGGTCAGTGGGGATGCTTTGCTTTGGGTGTAGGAGTTTAAGTATCTGGGTGTCTAGTTCATGAGTGATGATAGGATGGAGTGGGAGATGGATTGACAGATTTGGGGCTTGTCCTCAGTAATGAAGACATTGCTTTTGCCTTTTGTGGTGAAGAAAGAGCTGAGTCAAAAGGTAAAGTTCTGGATTTACTGGTCTGTTTTTGTTTGTTGTTTTGTTGTTTTTGTTAATCTATGGTCATGAAGTTTGGCTCATGACCGAAAGAACAAGATCCCGGATACAAGCTGCCAAAATGAGCTTCTTTGCAGGGTGGGGGTGGGGGATGGGGGGCTTGGAATAGAGCCGCTGCTCCTCTGCATCGAAAGGAGTGAGTTGAGGTGGTTCAGGCATCAGATTAGGATGTCACTTGAATACCTCCCTTTTTGTGTTTGTCAGGCACGTCCCACTAGGAGACCCTGACGCAGACCCAGAAATTGTGTATCTTCTCTGGTACAGCTTGGGGACTCCCAGGACAAGCTAGAAAGTGTTTCTGGGCAGAGTGATGGCTGGGTTTCTCTCCTGGACCTGTTGCCTCAGTGATCCAACAAGGGAAGCAGTAGAAGATGAAGATAAATACAAAATAACTGAGTTGGGTGTTGAGATATCATGAGAATTGGAGTGTCAGCAGTGTCAGACCTTCAGCAAATAGCAGCCCCCATCTTGTTGCCTGTTACTCAAGACAAACTATAAACCTCTGATGCCTTACAGTATTTTAAAAGCCTATATCATCAAAGTGTCATTGGAGTAGCTTTTATGCTTCAGTGTTGAAGCAAATTTTTTTCTAACGTTCAAAACAGAAACATCTAATATAACATTCTCTCTTAGAAAGTCAACTGAACATTTCTATCCTGAAAAATAACATACGGGTCAATTTATTTCCTTTAACCTGAATGTAGACATAATGCAAAAATGCTTTACAATAAGTCTGATTTAAAAAAAAAAGGTTAATTTGGGATACATTAAGTCAGTGTAGCCAGTAAAGTCTCTGAAGGTGCTAAATATGTGTCCTTTTGGTAAAGGGGGTATGTAACTCAGCAGACAATTTAAACACACAAACAACCCACCACCACCACCTCTCTCTCACACACACACACACAACCACACACATACAAATAATAATAATAAATAAAATAAATTATAAAGTCTTACTCACTAAAGCAAACACCCACACCCCCTTCTGTTAGTGAAGAGTTACAATAGAGATATAATAGTTACAAATATCCTCTTGTTGATAACAAAATCAGTTCATAATTCAATTTTTGTTGAGTGGTTATGTTTAAATT